ACATTAAGTTAGGTCTGTAAAATAAGGAAAGATTATTTTATTATCTATGTCAAACTACATACACAAATAGTAAAAGCTGAAAAAAGAAGAAACAATGTTTTTAATTGGAATAAAATCGATAGATATACAAAAACACCTTTAAGAGGAAGAATTAACAATGTGTATTTTATAATCTAAATATACACACACAAAAAAAACAACATAAAAAATCCACGTACATAATATTAAACTATTATAAACAACACATATTTCAAATACTTTATTCTTCTGTACATTTATATAAACAATTGACACATGCATATTATATAACAACAACAATTTGTTTTTAGTCTTTATAATATTCACCATATAAAACTTTAATTTAAACGTTTCTATAATAACAAAATATTGATGATAAAAACACATTATATTATGAACCATGTCTACATTGCCTTTAATTGTCCCCCGCCTTTTCGAAGAAAAAAGGGGGATATAGTAATAGGCTCCGTCTGTCTGTCCGTCCGTCCGTCTGTCCACACTCACAGGAGAGTAATATGTGGCTAGAGGGACAATAGGTAACTGTTCTTTCTCTTTGATGTCATTCATTCCGTAATGCTTTTATGTGGCTATTTTCCTTTGTGTGGCTAAAAAGAACAATAGAGAGAACAATAGAGTAGCCACATAATTACTGTCCTGTGAGAACGTCCGTCCGTCCGTCACACTTTCGTGTCCAATCCATAACTTTGTCATTTATCAAAGGAATCTGAAAGAACTTGGCACAAATGTTTGTTATAATAAGACGATGTGTCATGCCCAACAATCAGACCCCTAACTCCAAGGTCAAGGTTGCACTTGCTCATTCAAGGTCAACATTGTCTATTTGATGATATATATCGTGTCCGGTCCATAACTTTCTTATCTTTGAAGGGATTTTGTAAATACTTGCCACAATTGTTCACAATAATGAGACGATGTGTCATGCGCAACAACCGGTCACCTACCTCCAAGGTCAAGGTCACACTTGGAGGTCAAAGATTAACATGGTCTATTACAGGGTATATTTTGTGTCAGGTCCATAACTTTTTCATTTATCAAAGGAATCTGAAATAACTTAGCACAAATGTTTGTTATAATAAGACAATGTGTCATGCGCAACAACCAGACCCCTACCTCCAGGGTTAAGGTTGCACTTGCTCATTCAAGGTCAACATTATCTATTTGATGGTATATGTTGTGTCCGGTCCATACCTTTCTTATCTCTGAAGGGATTTTGTAAATACTTGCCACAATTGTTCACAATAATGAGACAATGTGTCATGCGCAACAACCGGTCACCTACCTCCAAGTTCAAGGTTACACTTGGAGGTCAAAGATTAACATAGTCTATTACAGGGTAGGGTATATTTTGTGTCCGGTCCATATCTTTTTTATTGATGAAAGGATTTTGTAAATACTTGCCACAAATAGACACTATGATAAGACAATGTGTCATGCACAACACCTGCATCCCTACCTCCAGGTTTAAGGTCACACTTAGAGGTCAAAAGTTAACATAGTCTGTTTTAGGGTATATTTTGTACTTCTTCAGGATTTTGAAATAACTAGTGATGGAGAATCGGACCAAAAACACAATCGATAATCGAATTGAATCAAACATAATTAATCGATTAAAATCGGTAAATAATCGAAAACTATTTGTAAATATGCTGGTTCATCTACCAGTTGGCTATAATTAGAAGTACACTAGTACACATTTTTTCAAATATCTATTCTTTTATTTGCTTATAATATATGATCATATATTAAAAACCACAGACTAGATTTACATATCAATTGTTTGTAAAACCTGAAAATGAAATGTTTAGACAAAGCATAAACTCCTTAACAATAGCAATTTAGCTCTTTTTAACCATTTAAATTCAAAATAAACTTTAACTATCACTAAGCTTGAAGAAGCACAAATCTAACAATAAGAATCCATGTTCATTTTAAAAAAAAATTATTGCTTTCACTTTCTCTGGACTAAGGCAGGTCTGGGCTCCTTGTCGCTGGCTCTTGGTACTGGTTCGGGTGGGGGCTGCGTTCATTGAACGCCACCTTTCCTTGTTGATCTTGTTTATCATATTTTGGACTAGATACAGTATGACTAGTTTCATCAGTGTTACGGTGAGGTTTGTCGAAATGCTGCATTACCTAAAAAAAACAAAAAACATAATTTTCTCAGTTCATACTTTCCATTTAAAAACCACTACTTAAATTTTTTTTCTTTTTTTTTTTTAAATCATATTTTGGACTGTGGCTTAGTTTTCAAAAAAAATCATTTTTTCATTTTAAATCAACCTTACATTGATACATAAAACGTTAAACATAATAATTTACAAAGCATGTTATCATGTTGGCAATTGCCTACGACAAAAACTGGTACAAGAACAGGTTATATCCGAAAAAATGGAAGAAATAAATCACATTTGTTTGCATACGACTTTGTTTTCAAAAGTATTCATTTTTAATTAACCTTACCTGGATACATTACAAGTTATACATTATCATTTATATAGCATTGAACATAATTTCCTACAATAAAAACTTGTACATGAACCACATGTCCGCTAACAGGTTATATCCGAAAAAATGGAAGAAAATATTCACCTTTGTTTGCATACGACTTCATGTATAATCGGCAAATGACGGTCGTCATGTGAAGGTTGTGCTTGACTGGCGGACCGTCAGAATGTTTTTTAAAACCAAAGACAACGCCAAACTGATGAGCGTGTCTTCCCTGGGAAGTTGAAAATTTCCTTGTCCGACTTTACGATGAGAGTAACGTCCCTTTCTGATTTTCTTTTAACCCAAAGAAATGTAAGTAGCAACATCGATTTTACAGTAAAGAAATCGATTGTCGCTAACATAAGCGGCCAGCGACGATTATTCGATTCTACTCGATCATCGTGACATCACTAGAAATAACTAGGCACAAATAGTCACAACAATAAGACAATATGTCAGGTACAACATCTGCACCCCTACCTCCAAGGTCAAGGTCACACTTAGAGGTCAAAGGTTAACAGAGTCTGTTATATGGTTTATTTTGTGTCCTGTTTATAACTTCTTCATAGATGAAGGGATTTTGAAAATACTTGGCACAAATAATCACCATGATAAGGTGATATGTCATGCGTAACACATGTGTCCCTACCTCCAAGGTGAAGGTCACACGTAGAGGTCAAAGATTTACATAGTCTGTTATAGGGTATATTTTGTGCCCAGTCCATAACCTGGGATTTTAAAAATACTTTGCACAAATAATCACAATAATAAGATGATATGTCAGGCTCAAAATATGGGTCCCTACCTCCAAGGTCACACTTAGAGGTCAAAGATTGACATAGTGTGTTAAAGGGTATATTTTGTGTCCGATCTATAACTTCTACATAGTTCAAGGGATTTTGAAAATACTTGGCACAAATAGTAATATTAATAAGACGATATGTCATGCACAACACCTGCACCCCTACCTCCAAGGTCAAGGTCCCACTTAGAGGTCAAAGGTTAACATGATAGAATTTTAAATTCCGTGTTTCATTTTACTAGTATTTCTTTAATAAATTTATTGTTGCATTTGCAGATCTGGCATTGATCATAATTTTGGACTGAAAGTCCTGAAATTCAGAATTAAATCTTTTGAAATAGCACAATTTTATGCTTCATATAAAACTTCCCGAGGCGGGGGACGTTGGTAACTCTGTTACAAATTCTTGTTACTATATAACATAAGGTCGACGAAACCACTTTCACACCTCTTCATAAATCAAGTTTGCTGAACCGGTATTTCAACGAAACCACCATAATTCCTTTTTGTTTTATCTTTTTTTTTAGCTCATCTGAGCATGCTCAGGGTGAGCTTTTAGGATCGATGATTGTCTGTCGTCCGTCGTCCGTTCACATTTTGTTGTTAACACTCTAGGGGTCGCATTTTTGCCTCAATCATCATCAAACTTGGTCAGGATGCTTATCTAGTTGATAGCTCGGATGAGTTCGAACATGGGTCATCTTGGATGAAAAACTAGGTCACAAGAGCTAAAAATAGAAAAGCCTTGTTAACACTCAAGCGGTCACAATTTTGCATCAATCATCATCAAACTTGGTCAGGATGCTTGTCTAGTTGATAGCTAGGATGAGTTCGAACATGGGTCATCTCGGATGAAAAAGTAGGTCACTGGAGCTAAAAATAGAAAAACCTTATTAACACTCTAGAGGTCACAATTTTGCCTCAATCATCATCAAGCTTGGTCAGGATGTTTGTCTAGGTGATAGCTTGGATGAGTTTGAACATGGGTCATCTCGGATGAAAAAGTAGGCCACCGGAGCTAAAAATAAAAAAACCTTGTTAACACTCTAGCGGTCACATTTTGGCATCAATCATCATCAAACTTTGTCAGGAAGCTTGTCTAGGTGATAGCTTGCATGAGTTTGAACATGGGTCATCTCGGATGAAAAAGTAGGTCACTGGAGCTAAAAATAGAAAAACCTTGTTAACACTCTAGCGGTCACATTTTTGCATCAATCATCATCAAACTTGGTCAAGATGCTTGTCTAGGTGATAGCTTGGATGAGTTCAAACATGGGTATAGTCCTGGATGAAAAAATAGGTCACCTGAGCTAAAAATAGAAAAACCTTGTTAACACTCAAGTGGTCACATTTTTGCCACAATCATCATCAAACTTGGTCAGGATGCTTGTCTAGGTGATAGCTCGGATGTGTTTGAACATGTGTCATCTCGGATGAAAAAGTGGAGCTAAAAATAGAAAAACTTTGTTAACACACTTAAGCGGTCACATTTTTGCCTCAATCATTATCAAACTTGGTCAGGATGCTTGTCTAGGTGATAGCTTGCATGAGTTCGAACATGGGTCATCTCAGATGAAAAACTAGGTCACCCGAGCTAAAAATAGAAAAACCTTGTTAACACTCCAGCGGTCACATTTTTGCCTCAATCATTATCAAACTTGGTCAGGATGCTTGTCTAGGTGATAGCTTGCATGAGTTCGAACATGGGTCATCTCAGATGAAAAACTAGGTCACCCGAGCTAAAAATAGAAAAACCTTGTTAACACTCCAGCGGTCACATTTTTGCCTCAATCATCATCAAACTTGTTCAGGATGCTTGTCTAGTTGATAGCTTGCATGATTATGAACATGGGTCATCTCAGATGAAAAACTAGGTCACCGGAGCTAAAAAAAGAAAAACCTTGTTAACACTCCAGCGGTCACATTTTTGCCTCACTTGTCGGTCCGTCTGTCCGTAGACCAAATGGTTTCCGAGTGATAACTAAAGAACCCTTAGGCCTAGGAACTTCAAACTTGGTATGGTGATTGGTCATGACAAGAAGATGACCCATATTGATTTTGGGGTCAAGGGGTCAAGGTCACATTGACCTTGTAAGCAAAAACGGTTTCCGATCAATAACTAAAGAACCTTAAGGCCTAGGAACTTCAAACTTGGTATGGTGATTTGTCATATCCAGTAGATGACCCTTATTGATTTTGGGGTCAAGGGGTCAAAGGTCAAGGTCACATTGACTTTGTAAGCTAAAACGGTTTCCGATCAATTAGTAAAGAACCTTAAGGCCTAGGAACTTCAAACTTGGTATGGTGATTGGTCATAATCAGTAGATGACCCCTATTGATATTGGGATCAAGGGGTCAAAGGTCAAGGTCACATTGACCTCTTAGGTAAAAACGGTTTCCGATCAATAACAAAAGAACCCTTAGGCCTAGGAACTTTTAAACTTGGTATGGTGATTGGTCATGACCAGCAGATGACCCCTATTAATTTTGGGGTTAAGTGGTCAAAGGTCAAGGTCACATTGACCTTGTAGGTAAAAACAGTTTCCGATCAATAACGAAAGAACCCTTAGGCCTAGGGACTTCAAACTTGATATGGTGATTGGTCATGATCAGAAAATAACCCCTATTGATTTTGGGGTTAAGGGGTCAAAGGTCAAGGTCACATTGACCTTGTAGGTAAAAACAGTTTCTGATCAATAACGAAAGAACCCTTAGGCCTAGGGACTTTAAACTTGATATGGTGATTGGTCATGATCAGTAGATGACCCCTTTTGATTTTGGGGTCAAGGGGTCAAAGGTTAAGGTCAAATTGACCTCTTAGGTAAAAACAGTTTCCGATCAATAACTTAAGAACCCTTAGGCCTAGGAACTTCAAACTTGGTATGGTGATTGGTCATGATCAGTAGATGACCCCTATTTATTTTGGGGTCAAGGGGTCAAAGGTTAAGGTCAAATTGACCTCTTAGGTAAAAACAGTTTCCGATCAATAACTAAAGAACCCTTAGGCCTAGGAACTTCAAACTTGGTATGGTGATTGGTCATGACCAGCAGATGACCCTTTTTGATTTTGAGGTTAAGGGGTCAAAGGGCAAGGTCACATTGACCTTGTAGGTAAAAATGCTTTCCGATCAATAACTTAAGAACCCTTAGGCCTAGTAACTTCAAACTTGGCATGGTGATTAGTCATGACCAGCAAATGACCCCTATTGATTTCCGGGTCAAGGGGTTAAAGGTCAAGGTCACATTGATCTTGTAAGTAAAAACGGTTTCTGATCAATTAACTAAAAACGCTTAGGCCTTGGAACTTCAAACTTTGTATGATGATTGTTCTTGACCAGCAGATGACCCCTATTGAGTTTTGGGTCAAGGGGTCAAAGGTCAAGGTCATGACCAGTAGATACTTGATAACCCTTATTAATTGTTTGATCACTGGGTCAGAAGTCATGCATAATTACCTTATCACATGAATAATTGGCTGCTGATAGGGGGCATACATGTTTTACAAACATATCTTGTTATAGTTGTTTTCCATTACAATAAAGGGTAATGAAAAAAATCAGTTTCTTGACAAAAAAATCGAATTAATAAATACAAAGTCTTTAGAAAAGGTTCCTTTTTGAGGTCATTTAAAAAAAGAATAATTTGGTGGAATTTTAGAGAGGGAAAAATGAGTTGTCATTCGTGGGTAGGGAATATGGCGGACTGAAATCATGTAATTGAGTTTGTAAGTGTATGGATGTGCAGACTTTGGAGGTCACTCAAAGAAGAACACTGGTTGCCATGGCAACCGAAAGAAAAGAACTTTAAATATCTTCTTTTAAATAACCATAAGACCTAGAGCTTAGATATTTGGCATGAAACATCTTCTAGTGAGTGTCTACCAAGTTTGTTCAAATAAAAGCCCAGGGGTCAAAATTGGCCCCGCCCCGGGGGGTCATTGATTTTCCCTATATGCATATAGTAAAAACTTAAAAAATCTTCTTTTAAAGAACCCAAAGAGCTAGAGCTAAGATATTTAGCATGAAACATGTTTAAATGGGTGTCTACCAAGTATGTTCAAATAAAAGCCCTGGGGTCAAATTTGGCTCTGCCCCAGGGGGTAATTGATTTTCCCTATATTCATATATAGTAAAAACTTAAAATCTTCTTTTAAAGAACTCAAAGAGCTATGGATAAGATATTGAGCATCAAACATGTTCTAATAGGTGTCTACCAAGTTTGTTCAAATAAAAGCCCTGGGGTCAAAATTGGCCCCGCCCCAGGGGGTCATTGATTTTCCCTATATGCATATAGTAAAAACTTAAAAACTCTTCATTTAAAGAACTCTAGTGAAAGAGCTATGGCTAAGATATTGAGCATCAAACATGTTCTTATAGGTGTCTACCAAGTTTGTTCAAATAAAAGCCCTGGGGTCAAAATTGGCACTGCCCCGGGGGTCATTGATTTTCTTTATATGTGTATAGCAAAAACTTAAAAAATCTTCTTTGAAAAAACCCAAATAGCTAGAGTTAAGATATTAAGCATGAAACATCTTTTAGTTAGTGTCTACAAAGTTTGTTCAAATAATAGACCTAGGGTCAAAATAGGCCCTGCCCGGGGGGGTCATTGATTT